GTTACCAACCAGCCAACCAACCAGCCGGAGAATCAGCCGACCAATGAACCAACCAACCAACCAACCAACCAACCAATCCTTCCCGCGCCGTTCTTGAGGATGTCCCACACCGCGGGGCCCAGATCATATTTTTTTGGACCCAGCAGCCAGCCGGTCGACCAACCAACCAGCCAGCCGCTCCAGACAGATCTGTTTTGGACCGGCAGCCAGCCAACCATGAAGGGGCCCTGGGACACACAAATAAATACACACAAGTAAAAAGATTCCCGATATTTTCGCACATTTTTGGGGTTTCTGTCTTCCCCCCCCACTTCCCATATTTTCCCATACTTTCGGGGGAATCGACGATCAATTGTGTCTGTGTGTTTTTTCCCCTCCCGAAGCCAGCCAGCCAGGCAGGCCACACTCGGGGCGTCTCCGGAGGATGTCTCCCGCACGGCGGGCCCCGTCGGGCGGGCACCTCCCTGGGGAGCCAACCTCCGACGAGGGGCTTCTTCGGCGCGCGGCCCCGGGAGTCCAGACCCGTCCTCCGGGGCCAAGTTTTGCCGCCCTGGGCCTGTCTTCGATCGCAGTGGGGCTCGGGGACCGGCTCCAGGCTTTGTGGGCCCCGGAAACGGCAAGGCCGCTTTTTCACCGTTTCCCAAAAAATGTCCCTTGAAAATGGGAACGGCAAAAAAACGGCGACCGGAAACGACAAAAAAACTCCTCCAGGATCGGAGCCGGAGCCGGAACCGGTCAAAAAACGGCGACGGAACCCGTGAAAAAACGGCGTCGGAACCGGCAAAAAAAAGGCAGAACGGAACCTGTAACAAAAGCGGCCCTTCTGTTTCCAGGGCCCACTAAGGCTCCAGGGGCCCGAAATCCAGGACACACGGGGTGTTCCAACACATCGTAGCGTCGGAGGCCTGGGCTGCCACTCCCGCCAACTGGGGCCCGATGACGGGCCCCCCGGCCGGAACTCCAGGCAACGGGAGGGGTTCTCTAACAAAGCATGTCGTCGCAGATCTGGGCCATCGCTCCCGTCGACAGGGCTGCCCACCCTGTGGGCCCCGCTGCCCTGCTGTGCCCCCAGGCTCGGGAGGGAGGACGGCTCGAGACACCGCGAGCGCGGGCGCGGCAACGCTCCCGGCCGCTGCTCGGGAGCGGCCAAGAGGGGGGGGTCCAAGAGGGGGGGGATGCAAATCATGGCTGGCGGCATGTGCGCGGCCCACAGGGGGGGGCCAGGGACGTAATGAAATAAGAAGAGGCGCCATGAAATCTGAGGACAAATCATGGCCCGCGCCATGAAATCCACCCCCCCCCTAGTCATCACCCCCCTCTTTGCCGCCCCCGACCGCTGCCTCCTCTCGCCCGCCCGCCTCTCCTTCCCGGGAGAGGCGCGCCAGGCGCGCTGCCCGACCCACGGCCGCCCCCCCTCCGAAGCCTGGGCGGAGGGGCAGAGGCTGGATGGGGGGCAGGAGGTGCTGGGCTGCCCGCGGGCAGGAGGAGGAGGGGGGGGTGAGGAGGAGGAGGAGGCGGAGGAGGCGGAGGAGGCGGAGGAGGAGGAGGAGGAGGAGGTGGAGGAGGAGGAGGAGGAGGAGGAGGAGGCGGAGGAGGCGGAGGAGGCGGAGGAGGAGGAGGAGGAGGCGAAGGAGGCGGAGGAGGCGGAGGAGGGAGACGGGCAGAGGCTAGATGGGGGAAGAAGATGCTGGGCAGAGGCGCCAGGTCGTCCCGCGGGCAGAAGGTGCTAGGCCGCCGGCGGGCAGAAGGTGCTGGGCAGACACTCCTCCCTCCACAACTACACGATATGAGTACTACTCTCTTCTGTCCCGAATGCCGTCCAGAAGATATTCGGCCCACCTCCGCGTACTGCTTTTTGCACACTGGATTCCCGGGAGTTTTTGTTTTGATTTGGTTAGTTCGTTTAATTTTGTTTTGTTTGTTTCTGCAACATGTTGCTCCCGCTGAGGCGCTGGCCTCATTTTCGGGCTTCCGCTCGTTCCGAATCGCGCTCCCGCTGCAGCGCTGGCGTCATTATTTCCACTCCCATGCCACGGCATGCAATGCAGTGCTATGTGGTGTTCCGCTGTGCGATGCCATGCCTGGATTTGCAGTGCTTGACTACGCAACGCCACGCCATGCTATGCCATGCTGCACTTTGATCTTCAACGCCATGCTATAGCATGTTCTGTCATGTGCCGCTGTGCGATGCCATTCTTTGCGTTGCAATGCCTTGTGATGCAATTCTTCACAACACAACGCTACGGCATGCTATGACATACTACGCTCTGCCGTGCTCTTCTACGCCCTGCTATGCCGTCCTCTACGATGCATCACGCACCCTCTCGGGATCATTGCACTGCTCGATATCCGACTGTGCGCATATAGAAGAGATTTACGCCATGGTAGGGGATGGGAGGGAGGGGTAGGACGTCAGATATGACGCGAGCGCACCTAGCTTCTCCTCCCCCCTCCTCCTCCTCCTCCTCCTCTTCCTCCTCCTCCTCCTCTTCCTCCTCCCCCTCCTCCCTCCTCCCTTCTGCCTCCCTCCCCCCGAAGGACTTCGAGGCCCCCCCCCCCCCGGGGCCCTCCACGCCGCGCTCTCCCGCGCCCTTGCCGAACATCACTGCGCTCCAGGTCCCCCGCGGGGGTCGCGAGTGTAATCGCACTTCCACCACCTCCTCCTCCTCCGCCTCCTCCTCCTCCTCCTCCTCCTCCTCCCACGGCTGGGCCGCCCGCGCGGCCGGCCTCCTCGACCCGTATCATAAGGATGCGCGATACAGTCGGGGCGTTGACCTAAGAAACCCTAAATAAGGAACGAGGCCCCTTTTTTCCATAAGTTAACCTTCGATTTCCTATCGGAAACCTAAGGAAAACCTGAGGCAAGCTGCGAAATACTTAAGGAACGCGGAGCCCCTCCCCAACGAAGAGGGTTCCTTCTTCAGGGCCCCGACTGTACAGGTGGAGACCCATGCCAAGAAACACCCTGCTTGCCTCCAGGGGGCCCTGGGTTTCTCGGGTTGCGATGGCTTTGCGATGGAGAGCGTGGCGTTCCCACACCAACAAAAATCCATGGACGTCCGGGGGTCTCAGGGTTGGGCTTCTCGTGGAAGGTCTCTCGTGGTCGAGCTCCTGCTGTGGGGATGCGAGGGCCTCGGACGCCCACCTCGAAGCTCCTCGAGCGGGGCGCGGCCAACGAGCGTGGCCGAGGATGCACCGATGGGGGCCCAAGGATGCAAGGGCGCCCTTGGAGAGATTGCCCATCCTCGCTGTGCGGGTCGACGGTACGGGGCCCGCGGCCTGGGGGAGCGGACGGTGCCACGCGCGGGGAGGTGCCACTGCCTTGGGGGGCAGGGGCAGGCGAGCGCCACGAGAGCTCGGCGGCGAGCTCACGGGGGGGCGACGCGAGGAGGGCGGCCTTCTGCGAGGGCAGGGTGGGGGGGGCTTCCGAGCAGGCGGGAAGGCTCCTATCAGAGGGCAGGTAGGCCTCCCGGCCACCCCCGTCCCCAAAGCAGCCCTTTCTTGAGCGCGGCCAGGCGCTTGCAAAGAGGACCCCTGCCCTGCAAGACGCCCTCATCGCCCTCCCCGTCCCCCTCCCCCTCCTCCTCCTCCTCCTCCTCCTCCTCCTCCTCCTCCTCCTCCTCCTCCTCCTCCTCCTCCCCCTCCTCCTCCTGTCCCCCCCGCCGCGCCGCGCGTCGTGCGCGCCGCCAAGTCGAGAGCACCCTCTTCGGACCAGGCGCCTCTTGTGTAGCCTCGCGCCTCCTCTTGCATAGCCTCGCGCCTCCGCGGGCTCGAACCCCGCCCCTGTGGGCGCCCGCGGTGGCCGACCCCCCCCCCTCCCTCCTCCTCCTCCTCCCCTCCTCCTCCTCCTCCTCCTCCTCCTCCTCCTCCTTCTCCTCCTCCTCCTCCTCCTCCCCCGCGGAGGCTTCTGCTTTCGATTTTCGCTGCCCACCCTGGTGGGACTTCGGCAGCACCGGAGGGCTGGGCTCCGTGCTGGCTCCATCGCGCCACTGTCTGCGAGCGAAGCTCGGTGTCGCACGCCGCGTCGGCGGGCGTGGCAGTGGGAACGGCGATGGTGCGCGCCCTGGTCGGCGCAGAGCACCGGGGGATGTTGCCGAATCCCCCTCCAGGAACGCAGCGCCAGCGTCGCAGACTTTGAGCTCTGCGAAGACGCCCGACGTAACAAAGAAGATTCTCTGGCGCGAGTTCCGCGAAGCAGCGCCACGGGAATCGAGCGGAACCGCGGAGGCTTTCGGACACCTCACAGAAAACAGCCGAAACCTGCGTGGATGCTGGCACGTGGGTGCGGTTACTTCGAGCAGAGAAGCCATGGTGTTCTCGCTCGGTGCATGAAGAAACGCAGAACGGGAATTGGACGGGCACCGCGGAGGCCTCCAGCAACGTGCACTCGACCGCTGGCGCTCTGGACACCGCTCGTTTCTGAAGACGTCCTGGGCGGCACCCGCATTTTGGGCCATGGCAGGGGACAAGTTTGAGGTCGGGAAGGTCCTCCTACAGGCGGATTCAGGAAGAAAGATGAACAAGAGTAACAGACATAAGCAAACATAATTTAAAAGTAGTCCCAAAAGCGTCCTCAGACCATTTTTGTGCTATTTTTGAATCTTCCTCCTGTATAGGGACACGCCCGACTGAAGACAAATTCGTGTTGCCGAAGGAGAACCGCCCGCCCACCGAGCCCGAGCGGAGCCTTCACATTTTGACACGGGGATTCTCTGCTCGATGGCAAACCTCACCGCCGCGCGGACAAAACAGCACGCCTTCATGACAAAACGCAGGGCATCGAACGATGAGCTCCCTCGACTGCACGCAGGAGCGACCCTGGGTAGGGGTGACCTTCGGTGCGCGGCTCCTCGGGGGCCGCGGGGGGGCCAACACACAAGCGCGCATACCGCATCGCGCTCGGCGGTGGGAGGACCCCAGTGGGCCCGCACCAAAGGTCACCCCGGCGAAAGGTCACTCTTGCGTGTGGTCGACTCTCCCCTCGGCCGGCCGGTCGCTGCCTGCCCTGGGCTCGTCCACGGCCTGGAAGCCGCCGTGCGAGGATCCGAAGCGCTCCCGTATGAAATCCCACACGTCGCCTCGGCACGGCGCCAACCGACGGAGGTTCTGCCCCACTTCTGCAGTGGACGCGCACGAACGGAAGCCGTGCTGTCAGAAGGTCCAGGAGCACGCTCGTCGTCGATCTTGGCGAATCCAAGGGTGCCCTGGAGCTCCTGTGTGCCCCAGGGGCCGTTCGGGAATCAGAGATTTCCGTGAGGCGGCTGCTGGCTGGTCGACCTCGAACCGCAGAAGGTATTGAGCACCCCCCCATTAATGGGAAACTTATGCACTTTTGCGCGAGCTTAGGGACGGATTGGGACACCAACAAGACTGAGAAAATCACGATTCCCCCTCCCGCGGCGGCCACTGCTGATGATCTCGAGGGTGGGATAAGGATCCCTGATGGTGATGAGGAGGATGATGAGGAGGAGGAGGAGGAGGAGGAGCAGGAGGAGGAGGAGGGGGGGGGAGGGGGAGGGGGAGGAGGGGAGGAGGAGGAGGAGGAGGAGGAGGAGGAGGAGGAGGAGGATGAGGAGGAGGATGAGGATGAGGATGATGATGATGATGATGATGATGATGATGATGATGATGATGATGATGATGATGATGATGATGATGATGATGATGATGATGATGATGATGATGATGATGAGAGGGACGAGGAGGGGAAGGACGAGTTTTCGTGCCAGCCGAGAGCTCAAGAGGGGTGGGTGGGTGGGCAACATTAAAGACCTTCAGCGGTTACTGTAGGCCGTCCGGCTTCGCGCATCGTGGCCCGCGAAGCGCGATTACCGTTGAGGTCGGGCGTGTCCTCCTACAGGCGGACTCTGGAGGAAGAAAACAAGACGGAGTCAACCAAGAACCACCGAAACTGGTCGGGAGGAGCACGAGCAGCCGTGTCCAGACTATTTTTGTTTTTTCTGCTCTGGAGCACTCCTCCTGTAGAGGGACGGGGCCGGACGGCAGGCTGCCTTCGCGCCCCCCGCGAGGCCCTCCCTGCGCGGAGCGGCTCGCCGATGCGCGGGCCGCGGCGCGCGGAGGGTGCGGTCCTCGCCGCGGCCCCCGGGGGTGGCCTGGCCCTGCCAGTCAGAAGCGGGTCGGGCACGTCCTCCTACAGGCGGGGCGTTGACCTAAGGAACCCCAACTAAGGAACGAGGCCCCGTTTTCTCATAAGTTACACTTCGATCTCCCATGGAAAACCTCATGAAAACCTAAGGCAAGCTGCAGAACAGTCAAGGAACACCGAGCCCCTCCCCAACGAGAAGGGTTCCTTCTTCAGCGCCCCGACTGTACAGGCGGAGTCTGGCCGAAAACAACATAGTCAAACAGAACTCCCAAATGGTCAAACAGAGTCGACGAGATCGTCCCCAGACTATCTTATGACCCCTTTTGAATCTTCCTCGCGTAGAGGGACAGGCCCGACTTGATGCCAGGTAGAAGTCAAACCCCAGCACGCTCGGCCGGCGCGCCTGATTCGTTAATAGCAATCCTGACGAGCCCCATTCGCAGGACGATCGGATCGTAGGTTCGCTCTCGCCGACGATTGGGCTGCTCAGGCTTGCTCTCACCTTATGAGCATCATCAACTCCTGCGTCGCCCCAGGTCGACGCGACGCGAAACTGCCCTTAACATTGTTCGTTCCGTGGCCCTCAGGCTCGAACCCGCTCGGTACAGCAAGGATGCAGCGGGTGTCACGCGAAGTCCCCACCGAGCTCGCACAAGTCACTGCCCAATACATCGATATAGCATTTGCAGCGAACGCATCATCACCACCACCACCATCATCATCAGCACCACCACCACCACCGCCACCACCCCCACCACCACCATCATCACCATCACCGTCACCATCACCATCATCATCATCATCATCATCATCACCAGCACCATCACCATTGTCATCACCATCACTATCGTCATCATCATCATCATCATCACAATCATCATTCTTATCTTTCTTCTTATCACGAATCGCATGATTATCATGCTGATGCTGATGATGATTATTATCATTTCTAGTATTATTCGTGTCATTGTTAATGTGATTATTACTAGTATCAATTTTATTCGTACGTATCCTTCCTTTTTCTTCTTCTGATTATTGTTATTCTTACTATCACCATCACCATTAGAATCGCCTTCACCTCCATCATCATCACCACCACAATCACCACCACGATCACCATCACCACCACCACCACCACCATCATCATCATCATCACCATCATCATCATCATCATCATCATCATCATCATCATCATCATCATCATCATCATCATCATCATCATCAACATCATCATCATCATCACTTCCCCGTGATGACGCTTCTCCTCACGAGAGGGACGAGGCATGTCCAAGATGACAACACAATGAACAAACGTCATCAGGCGTCCGTCAACTCTTCATGGTCCTCCTTCTCCCGAGACTGACGGCGTCGCTCAGAAGAACCTCTCAAGTAGCTGACCAACGCCAAAAACAGAGCTCGAGATAATATATCAGAGAAAACGAAAGAGAGAGAGAGAGAGAGAGGACAACCGCTCGAAGCAGGATGTCAGAGGAAATGCTCGAATGACGAATCTGGAAATGATCAAGGTAATCGGAACTCGTCATCTCTTCGGGGGCCGTGTTGGACTTCCTCTCCCGACGCTTCCCCCTAGACTCGTCACGATGGAGGTCTTGCGGCGGGCCCGCCTAGAAGCAGCCGATACGGCACTGCTCGCATCACTTGAAACCTCAATGCAAGCAGAGGCCCGAAAGGGGTACCTGAGGCCGAAAAGAACCAAGAAGGCACCAAGGCCCACTGAACTCCAAAATCATACCCTCGAGCACCCCCTCCCCCGAGGGGTTGGCATTCCGACGGTTTCCTCTAGCGGAGCCGCCCTCGCTTTCATTCTGGCAGATTTGTGCGGCGTCGGCGTGCGCAAAGGTTCTTGTCACCGCGTCGATCGTTCAACCTTGAGTCGATCGCGGCCCTGCTAGTTCAAGGTTGAATTCCGTTGGGTCCAGTGGCGTCATTGTGTCCCTGAGTGCCTCTGCGTCGCAATACTCAACCTTGAACGCCTTCGCCGGCGTCGCTGGCGCGCCAACGCCGCATGAACCTGCCGTACTTCCGCTGGCCTTTCGCCAACTTCCGCTGAGGCATAGATGCCATACATGCGGCCCCAGATCCGCGACGTCATGATTCTTTCATGACGTCGACCCCCAGAAGTCTCGACCCGGGACCAGTTTTTCATCCTGAGCCGTTTTTTCACGGTCCCCAGTCCCGGGAAAGGCCCTCCGAGGCCGAAAATGGCGAAACACCTCCCGTCGTGATTTTTTTTCAGGACTCGAGGGGGTCTGGGGCGTCCTGATCTTCTCGGCTGCACGTAAGAGTGACCCTGGGTAAGAGTGACCTTTGGTGCGCGGCTTTCTGGGGGCCGAGGGGGGACCAAACATGGGCGCGCAAGCCGCTGCTCCTGCTTCGCTTTCAGCCATCTGGGGACCCATCTGTGCCCGCACCAAAGGTCACTCCAGCGAAAGGTCACTCTTACGTCTAGTTGATCTTCTCAGGACGGGCCCCCCAGACATCCCGGCCCGCTTCCCGGGGGCCGGCCTTTCGTCGCGAGCGGCGTGTTGGCGGCCCCGGGGCGCGGCCGGGGCCTGGAGGCCGAAAGCCAGCAACCTCCCGTCGGGGGCCTGGCACAGGGCTTGGGGGGGGGGAGCAGGGGCCTGGCGCCGGCGATGCATCGACGATGGAGCGGCGATCGATTCTTCCGAGGAGCAGGGGACGGGAGCGGACCGCGATACTATGCACCACTCGCGTCGCCAAGCGTGCTGGCAATCACCAGGTTCGGCGACACGCCCCCGCGAGCGTACCGGCACGGTCCCGTTCCTGAGCAGGGTGGGGCTGCCAGACACCTCTCGGCGATCCATGGGCGATTGGGGGTCGATGCGTTCCCCCCCTGAGACTACCCCCTCCCCAATCGTTGCCCCCGAGAGGGCCCCCAGAGGCCGAAGCCAAAAAATCTCACGTCGCGTTCTTCCCGACGCGAGCACGTCTGGGATGCCAGCTTCTCGGTGCCTCGAGGGCGGAGCCCCGTCTCGAGCGCCCCGCGGAGCGGGAGCAGGCTGAGGGGCGCGGCACACGCGGTCCAGGCGGTTCCTCGCGCTGAAGACGCTGAGGCCTGGGCTCGCTGTGGGGCCGGGGCTAGCGACGTAACGACTCGACCTGATGTGGACAGGGTCGGGCAGGAGAGAGAGAGAGAGAGAGGCTTTCGGACGTCTTCGTTGGTTCTCGGCGGCTTTCCAGCCTCAAGACGCTCGCGACGGTCTCCAGCCTCGACTCGATGCGGATCGGGTCGGGCAGCAGAGAGAGGTCATCGGACGTCTTCGGACGGTTCTCGGCGGCTTTCCAGCCTCGGGACGCTCTCCAGCAGCTGCGCCTCGCCGAGGGCGTTCCTGGGGTGCCTGGATCGTCCTGAACGGCCGACAGAGAGCCGAGTGAACCCGAAAACCACAGGAGGAGGAAGAGGAAGAGGAGGAGGAGGAGGAGGAGGAGGAGGAGGAGGAGGAGGAGGAGGAGGAGGAGGAGGAGGAGGAGGAGGAGGAGGACTCTTCGGATCTCGGGGGGGAGAGACGCGGCGACACCTCAGCCCGAGGGCCGCCAGCGCCTGGCGCAGCGGAGGGAGAGATGAGGGGGATGCGGAGGGGATGGAGAGAGGGAGTGGGGGAGTGTTGGCGGTGCGCACGAGGGGGTGGAGGGAGGGGGGAGAGCTTCTAAGAAGCAGGGGTGCTGCTAAGAAGCCCTCCCCCCTCCCCCCACCCCCCTCTGCGCGTGGCCGAGAGTGGGTGAATCAGGTGTTGAAGGCCTCTGCATCAGCCAGTGGGCCCCCAAGTGCTGGCCCTGGGGATGGCCCGCCGCAGAGAGCGGGCGAGAACGGGACGAATGATTTTCCAGGGGCGCACACTCCCCAGTGTGGATGAGCTCATTTCAGTGAAAGAACACCCCTTGGCACTTTGAATGACGGAAGCGAGGCTCGAGCGTGCTGAGTCTGCTCCCTCTCACCAGCTACTCACCGTCCTTCTGGCTGCCGAGGGTGGGCTTCTGGCGAGCAGGTACACGGAACGCGCCGGCTGGCTTCGAGCTGGCACGCCGAGAGCACGGCGACACGACCAGTGTGGAGAAAAGCTGGCCAGCGTTGCAACTGCCGCGGCAGCGCCGCTGCGCCGACGAGCACACGGGA